GAACTTCTTTTTTAACTCGTAAGCACTTCAGGGATTTCCTCTATTGCTTTGATCTGTGAAGGATTTACCTCAATACCACGGTTAGAAACAAGAAAACCCAAAAACTTACCTGATGCGACCCCAAATGCGCATTTTTCTGGATTGAGTTTCATATTAAACTTTCGTAAAATTTGAAATGTGACAGATAAATGAGAGATGTGATCATGAGAATGCTGGATTTTGACGAGCATATCGTCTATATATACCTCCATGGTTTTTCCTAAATGTTCCTGGAACATTTTAGTGACCAACCTTTGATAGGTTGCTCCAGTATTTTTGAGACCAAAGGGCATTACTTTATAATAGTAAGTCCCCCTGTCTGTGATGAAAGAAGTTTTCTCTTCATCACTCGGATCCATTTTGATTTGGTTGTAACCTGAATATGCATCTAAAAAACTTAAAAGTTCATGCCCTACAGTCGCATCAATTAACTGATCTATATACGGTAAAGGAAAAGAATCTTTGGGACAAGCTATGTTAAGATCTGTATAATCTACACAAACTCGCCACTTACCATTCTTTTTAGGTACCACAACTGTGTTAGCTAACCAGTTAGGATACTTTACCTCACGGATGAACCCAATTTTTAACAACTTTTGGACCTCATCTTGAATCACCTGATTTTTGAAAGCTCCTTGCTTTCTTTTCTTTTGCTTTACTGGTGTGAATGATGGGTCTTCATTTAGCTTGTGAGTCATCACATCCGGTGGTATCCCTGTCATATCAGCATGGGACCAAGCAAAACAGTCCACGTTAGCTTTTAGAAATTTAATTAACATACCTCGCATGTCTGAGCTTAAATTGGCTCCAACATAAACCTTCCGTTCAGGCCATTGCTCAAATAATATCACAGCTTCGAGTTCTTTAATTGTTGTTTTGATATTTTCATTCTCTTCAGGCTCTTGAATTGTATCAGGTCTCGAGTCTACATCTGTCCGTCCTTGCTCAGTTGAGGTTTGAACCGTGATACCCTCAATTGTTTCCTGTAATTGCTATTTCTCTTCATTTACAGTGCTCGTATCCGTTACAACATTAATACTCCTGGCTGTATGTTGATCTCTACGAATTTGGCAAATTCCCCATGGTGATGGGAATTTAATGACTTGATGTAGAGTTGATGGGACAGCATCCATATCATGGATCCATGGTCTTCCCATGATCATATTATAAGCCATTTCCATATCTACTACCTGAAATTTGGTTTCTTTAACAACATCTTCAGCAAAAGTTGTTAGAATAACCTCTCCTTTTATTACCACACTTGAATTGTCAAACCCCGACAAGGTATGCGCCTTCGGTATCATTTTGTCTTCAGCTTGCATCTCACGCAATACCCTTAGTAGGATAATATTTACGGAACTTCCTGGATCAATCAAAACTCGTTTTACATTAGTGTCATGTACAAGTAAAGATATTACCAGTGCGTCGTTGTGGGGGGTCAACACTCCTTCTGTATCTACATCATCGAAAGTGATACTTTCGTTTTCTAAAACCTGCCGTACTCGTTTCCCGTGTGTAATTGTTACTTTAGAAACCTTGTTTGAAGTTGTATATGTTACACTATAAATATCTTCTCCCCCACTTATAACATTAACGATTTTCTTGGGTGATGGGGGCTTTGGTGGCTCTTGCCTATTTTTCATATAGGCTTGCTTACCTTTCTCACTAAATAACTCAGTGAAATACCCTTGTTTCAATAGATGGTCCACTTCACTTTGTAAGAATCTGCATTCTGACGTCTTATGCCCGTGATCATTGTGGAATTCACACCAATGGTCTGGATTGCGCTTGTTTGGATTTGACCGCATCTCATTTGGCCACCGTACCTTGTCTCCCATACTCCTTAAAACAACCACGAGCTCGGAAGTACTTACGTTGAAATTATAACCACTGAATCTTGCCTTTAAATATCTGTCGTCATCACGGGACTCTTGAGTGTTTCGATCATTTCTGAACTTTGATGAAGAACCAGATTCCCTGTTCCTCGATCTTTGATCATATCGTTGATTATCCTGCTTCGACCGTGAGTCTTTTCCTGCAGGTCCCATGTATGGATCGTACCTGTTTTTACCTGATCTTTTTTCGGTTTCTGACCTCCTGGAACTGCTCCTTTCTTCATGATGAAACCGAGGTACGGTATCTTCCTCAATTCGCAACTTCGTACTGTACCTGTTATAAACATCATTCCACGTGGTTGCAGGGAACTCTCGAAGGCTTTCTTTAAGTCTTCTCGTGGCTTCTGAACTTTTGTCATTTAAGTTGCTTGCAAAAGCTATTGCAGCCCAATTATCAGGTACACGAGGTAAAGTCATTCTTTCACGTTGGAATCTATCAACAAAATCTCTGAGCAACTCTGAGTCCCCTTGTTTGATTTTGAAAATATCCTCCATTCTTTTCTCAACTTTTTGAGCTCCCGAGTGTGTTTTAATAAAAGAATCTGCAAGCTCAGCAAAAGAGTTTATAGAAATTTCAGGTAAAAGAGAATACCAGGTTAATGCACCCTTGGTGAGTGTTTCTCCAAATTCCTTGACCAATACTGATTCAACTTCTTGCTTGGTCAAGTCGTTGCCTTTTACGCCTGTAGTGAATGCAGTTACGTGATCACGTGGGTCTGTTGTGCCGTCGTACTTTGGGATGTCAGGCATTTTGAACTTTTTAGGGATTGGAAGGGGAGCAGCACTTGGTTTCCAAGGTTGTTGTGAGTATTTATCAATATCCACTCCTTTGATTACAGGGGGAACTCCAGGGATTTGCTCGATGTGCTCATTTTGTTCCTTAAGCTGTTTTTGCAGGGTTAGTACTAAATTTTGCAAATGAGAATTAGTTGAATTACCTGGTTCTCCCTCCTGTGAATCACTGGGGCTTGCTCCATCACCAGAATTAATCAGCCCAGAACGGGGATTTTCCAATGTGTTGTTATTCGGCGTTGGTGGTGCAACAGGTAATCGACTGATCAGAGCTTGTAAAGATTTGTCTACCCGTGTATCAATTACTTTTTGTAAAACTTCATCTCTCCCTTCAAAATGTTCAGACTGATCATTAGGAGTGCCTTCTCGAGATCTACGTGGAGAGCCTTGTGGGGAAAGATCATCACGTTGATCTCCATCCAATTGATGGGTTTGATTTTCTTGAATGTTTTCGTTGTTGTTTGACATGATGATAACAACAGGTAGAATGTAACTTAAAAAGAATAGATTATCAGATTTCCGGTAACGGAACCAATTTGTTTAACCAAAAATTTGAGTCTTTGGTCAAAGCTAGAAATAAAGAGAAATTCGGGTTACTGATAATCAGGAGACAAAAATAATAAAAGATTTTTTTAGAGCAATAATAAAGCAGTAAATAATTTTGTATTTCAGTGATATCCCAATAGTATTTTTTTGTGTCCTTCAGATGCTGAGACCTTCTCTTTTTATAGTTGGCTCTAGGAGAATGTGTAATGCCTTTGTCTTAATGGGGCAATTATGAGCAATAAATGACATTAAATAAAACGTTACACAATCATTCATATTAAATACAAATTCTCTAACGTATATGGCATTTAATATTGAATTTGGCCTCTTCTGCGTTATCAGGTTCATCTCTTTAATTTCTTCTGATCTTCGGGCTTTAAATGATTCAAATAGGTACGGGATTCGTATCATTTGAGTAGTGACTCGTGCCTCTTTAAGTTTCTTCTCCCCCGTATCTGTTGTTGCCTGTGCCTCTTGATTGATAATCGTACTTTAACTATTTGACCAATACACGTGTCATGACACGTCATCTTCAATATGTAAATTCAATTTTTTTCCAATACAGTGAGGACTCAAGATTCAACAGACCGTTAACAAGTATTGCAGCATGGATTTGCTTTGTTTGTTTAATAGACAGAGGCTTAGCCAACAAGATCGTAATTTTAGAGGCCAGCATTCAAGTGCGACTCTAGGTAACGCAGGTGAAGTTTGTTTAATAGGCTCTGCATTTTGTCTTTTGTTGAGAAGAAGAAAACGAAGGTGGAGAAGAAGGGGGAGAAAGGGGGCTGAAGTTATTTAAGAAGTGGGTACAAGTTAAAAGTTTTTAAAAAAATGGGTATAGGTTAAATGGGGGCGACCAAATAGGGTGCCCCATGCAATTTTTACTCAATTAACATATAAGAGGCATATATTAAAAATAGGAATTTTTACATTCCTATGCCACATAGGAAACCTTATTACCCTCAATGTTTGAGGTTTGACTTAAGTACACTTAGTATACCAAATTACCAATTCTATACCATAGTGTATTTTAAGGGTACAATTAATGCAGCGTATATCCCTCCTTAATTCAAGGTGCCGTATATCTCACCCCTCCCACGTTTCTCTCCCCCAAACCCTCACCCTCACCCACGTTTATGTACTGTTATTAAACATAAAAAGAAGGCGAAATACATAAATGGCCCCTCCAAGTTGTCCAGAACGGTCAGTTGAACACCTCAACTGGGACTACTTCCAGTTAAACACTTCAAGTGGCTATTAAGTAGGTCAAGTAAACACCTGAGTTCAGCAGGCCATATGCGTGAGTTGCACTTGCCGATGACATGGCACATGAACCATTCAAAAAAAACACGTGTAATTTTGCCATAAGAATTTGCCACATGTAATTAACAAAAAAATACATTTAAAAAAGAAAAAAACTTCTTCTCCTAAACTAGCGTTCCTCATTCCCTAACTCTTCTTCCCAGCTTTCTCAAACCCTTCCCCTTATCAGTTGAACCCATGACCACCATTTCATCTGCAAAAAATTGGGCAAAGAAAAATTTAGATTGAACCTTGAAGATTCTAAGAACTAAAAATAAAAACATTGAATTTCATAAGAATCCAAAGTTAAGTGCATTTTTTTTTGATAAAATACTAGTTCGAATGAGTATCCGCTAAAACTTCAAAACAACCAAGATAAAGATCCCAATATCAAAATACAGTGAGCAATAAACAGAGGCGGCCTGTTACTCTAACTTCTTTTACTCTTCATTAGCAGATTCCACGTTCTTGTTGTTGTGCTTCCTAGCATACCTTTGGTTCCTCAAGAACTTGGGATCCATCCCTTTGCTGGATCTGTGACGGTGTTTCCTGGGTTTCTTGATTCCATTCCTGTGAGCCTTGTACGACTGATTGTGAGCTGTGTGATTCTTCGACTTGGCCATTTTTGGTCCTTGATTTCACAAACAACTGCAGCCGGCGATAGGGTTTGAAGAAGGGGAAGTAAAGAAAGGTATGTGGGTCCACAAAAATAAAGGTTATTTTTTAAACTAAAAAAAGAAAAAGAAAAATAAAAGAACACAATTCATGTCCCCACGCGCTCAATTTGTAGTGAGACACAATTGATTTGCCATGTCAGCGCAAAGTGTTTACTTGACCTACTTAATAGCCACTTGAAGTGTTTAATTGAAAATAGTCTCAGTTGAGGTGTTCAACTGACCGTTGTGGATAACTTGGAGGGGCCGTTTATGTATTTTACCTAAAAAGAATCATGTACTCTGTAGAAACTATTAAAGCCATGAACTCGGAACTTACTCCCCGATCCCATACACAAAGATGTGCAGTTATGCCAATGATTATGATAAAGATATTTATAATAGATTTTCCATTTTCAGCTTCAAAAGTACTTCAACCAAATGCATTGCACTTGTAGAACCGGTGCTCTCATTCATCAATTTTTTTGTTGCAAAATATAGATCGGCAATAATTGCAGGTACCATGAAGAAGCTAGCAAAATACACGTCCTCAAATGTCACCAAATCAGTTTGTCATTTAGGAGTACCACCACTATCAAGAGAGTTAGCATCAACATACTTCGCTGGCATATCATGTAACTAAAGTTATATTTTAGAGAAATTCTTTAGTTCTTATTTGTCTTCAGAGGAACTCTTTTCTTGGTCCTTCCAAAAATGTGTCGACAAAGTACGTACCTTACAGAAATTTGCAGAAAACGATATCAAGTAACTGGTCGAGCTTAATGATCTTCAAAAATAAATTAGGTAATTCGTATCTTCAAAATGAGTTTCGAAAAGAATAATGAATGGCATACGTGTCTAATTTCTTTACGCGATCAAGTAATTAGTATAAAAGTTTTAGTCATTTTTGATTTGTGAAAACAGAAACAAAGCATCTACAATCGGAATACAAATAATCTACAATTTATCTACTAAATATCTACAAACTGGGTATATTGAATTTTAATATCCCAATTCCCATTCAATTATAGTTTAATTGGAATTTTCGACATAATTGCATTTTTTGCAGAAGATTTGTAAAAGTATTAGTCGTTTTTGATTTGTGAAAACAGAAAATAAAGCATCTACAATTAGAATACAAATAATCTACAATTTATCTACAAAATATCTACAAACTGGGTACATTGAATTTTTATATCCCAATTCCCATTCAATTGTAGCATAATTGGAATTTTTGATATAATTGCGTTTTTTCAGAAGATTTGTAGAAGTTTTAGCCATTTTTATTTGTGAAAACAGAAAATAAAGCATCTACAATCAGAATACAAATAATCTTTGAAGCTTTGACAACCATTAAAAAGCTTTGAAGCTTTGAATTCAAATTTGGGTTTGGAAAAATCATTATTTGTTTGGATTCAAGAAAGTATGGTTGTATTGTATTTAAAGAGGCGTGAATTTGTAGAATAGGTTGAATGTGAGGAATGAGTCAAATAAGACTCACAATGACTTGTTTTCTACATTTAATCTACAACAAAACTACATATCATTTGAAAAATTAATATGAAAATACAGATTTTCAATGTTTCTACAAATTATCTACAAAATATCTACAAACTGGGTACATTGAATTTTAATATCCCAATTTCCATTCGATTGTAGCATAATTGGGATTTTCAACATAATTGCGTTTTTTCCAGAAGATTTGTAGAAGTTTTAGTCGTTTTTGATATGTGAAAACAGAAAACAAAGCATCTACAATCAGAATACAAATAATCTACAAATTATATACAAACTGGGTACATTAAATTTTCATATCCCAATTCCTATTCAATTGTAGCATAATTGGGATTTTTGACATAATTGCATTTTCAGAAGATTTGTAGAAGTTTTAGTCGTTTTTTTATTTGTGAAAATAGAAAATAAAGCATCTACAATCAGAATACAAATAATCTACAATTTATCTATAAAATATCTACAAACTGGGTACATATTTGGACTCAACATGCTTCCCCTGAAATGTATGTTTCACATATTTTTATTCATATTTTTGTCCAAAACAGTACTAAATCATCCACTTAAATATAATTCTTATACAATGTTGTTCAACTTTCATACAATAAGTAAAATGAATAAAAGAAAAATAAATAAACAACAATCTACAATTTTTCTACGATTTCTGCAATATACGTCTTCTTCTTCTTCTTCTTCTTCTTCTTCTTCTTCTTCTTCTTCTTCTTCTTCTTCTTCTTCGAGTTTCAACCTGAAATTCAGTCAAAACCAAGTCTAATCTTCACCAAAACCCCTCAAAATTGAGATATAAACTCCAAACCATATTTTCAATTATTTTCAATAACACCCAATCCAAACAAATAATGATTTTTGAAAACCCAAATTTGAATTTAAAGCTTTCAAGCTTTTTAATGGCTGTCAATGGTGGAATTGCTGCTCTCTTTTCCTTTGCTTTGTATTACTGAAATTTGGACATAATTGCGTTTGATGTAGAAGAACTGTAGAAGATTTAGTCGTTTTTGATTTGTGAATTGTAGAAGAATAATCAATTCGTTTTTGAATTGTAGAAGAATTTTTATGCTACAATGATTCCTTATTTAATAAAATATCTGAAAGAATTTTTACTTCCATAATTGTAGCGCGTCTAAATAGGAATATCTAGAAGAATATTTAGTTCCAGATTTGTAGCGCGCATAATTAGGAAGGAATCAACTCCTAATAATTGGTATTTAATGAATGGTATAATTTTTGTAGAATAACTGTAAACATGGCGGGTAAATATGAAACTATGCACATTTTTGATAATAATATTTTATATATGGTATAGGAAGGTAAAAATCCCATTTTTTTAAGTATGCTTTATGGTTGTGGGCCCAAAAGATAGAATGAATAGCCCACATTAAACTCATATTTCCAAGATTCATTGGAACCTACTTTTCTTGCTCTTTATCTTCCAGCTCAGATGTAGCTCATACAATGCAGCCACTAAAGTTTCAAAACATATCTTCTTCCATCTATTACACACTCAAAAAAGGTGCTATTTTAATATTTAAAAAATGACTTTCCAAATTAAATTATAGTATTACAACTTCAAAACTTAAGGATAATAAAAAGTCATGGTAATCTAATTGAGCCCTGTATACACTATTTAAATTTATTTTTTTCGTCTTACTATGTTTGATACTCTTTTTTGCATGTAAAAAAGATTGTCATCTTCCTTTATTTAAAAATTAATTCTTTTCTTAATTTCTATTTTCTCATTATTTACATGCAACTTGACACGATTTTGTAGTAAGTTTCAGCATACTTGTTAGGATTTATTTGATTGCTGCATTATTAAAAAAAAAAAAAGGGAGTTATGATATTTCGCATCCGTTTCATTTCCAATATCACACTTTGCATTAGTAATAATAGTATAACTTATGCGAGATTTTATAATTATAATTATGCATAATTAGTTTGTGAACCAAAAACTCGTAAAATTATCTTTTCTCATTTTTCTTCCTTTCGGATAAATTTCATATCCAGTTACACACAACACAAGTCACACTATAGAACAAATGTGGAAGGATGATGGAGTAATAAAAGGAACATATAGAATACACGTGTCGACACGCAAGCCAAAGAAAAGGGCTAAATTTGGGTGAAGAATCTTTCACTTCAATAAGAAAATATTGATTTTTCCTTAATTTTTGTCTTTCCTAAGCATCTTGTTATAAATGATTGATACGCTTCTTTATTTAGAGATAATTTCATTTTCAAATTCCAATTTATCCTTATTGACATGTACACTGACATGATTTGTTGCAAGTTTAACATTTTATGTACAAAAACATATTTTTGTTATTTCTGCGATTGTAAGAGTATTTTGTTAACTTTCATATTTAGTCGCACAACAATAATATCATATCCATTTTAATTTTATAAGTAGGGTCTAGACAAAGTAGTGTGTAGATAGGCTTATTCCTACCTTGTGCAAGTGAGGAGACTCGATCGATAGACCCTCGACTCAAAACAAAAATATTGCACAAGCAATCACAATATAATAGAGAAAGAAATGCAGTAGTAAAAAAACCAAAGAAACAGTAACACCAACAAAATAATAAGAAAAACCGAAAAAAAGCAACCAGAGAGTAATAAAATCTAAAAATATAAAAGTACGAGAATAACACTATTATAGTTAAATGAAAGGAAAGACACTCGACTAATACCACAAGTAAAAAAGTAAATACATATGTTATTAGTGGTTAACCGTGCACTTTCCCCAAAAATAGAGAATTTTTGAACCCAACATTTGAGTGATGGGCCCAAAGTAGCCGAGCCCAGCTACCTAAACTACAATCCAAATCTCAGCTCAAGTCGAATTTGGAATTCATCGGAAGATTATAATAGTGCAATCTCATCAGCTTCAGTACTGAAGGAAGTTCGAAAAATCCCTCTCGTCGGAGACCGACAAACGCCGCCATGCCCTAAATCGGAAAATCCTATCCTCACCGGCGTATAGATTTTAGCACATTCAAACACTAAAAGCTCCGCGCGAGCTTATCTTTTGAGTTAGCTTTCGAAACCCTAGATTACTCCGAGTCTCCCTTGGGAGGCTGAAATAATCAGCAAAAATGAGGATTATGATAAAGGGAGGAGTATGGAAGAACACGGAGGACGAGATTCTAAAGGCGGCGGTGATGAAGTATGGGAAAAATCAATGGGCTCGTATTTCTTCTTTACTCGTTCGAAAGTCTGCAAAGCAGTGTAAAGCTCGCTGGTATGAGTGGCTCGATCCTTCCATTAAAAAGGCAAGTTATTCTTTTTTTAAATTGGTTAATTAACCTTGTTTCTGTGTTATATATATGTTGTTACTGTTTGTTCATTGGTTTTGATAAATGTTATGTGAAAATTGTTTTGTTATTAGTAATTTTTCAATGTTTGGTAGGGTATAAATATAGATGTTAGGGTATAGATGTAGGTGACGTGGTAGCTAACGGTGTGACCTAGTGGTCAATGAAGTGGGTTAAGAATCACGAAGTCTCACATTCAATTCTCAACAGAGGAAAAAAAAACTAGGTGATTTTTCCCCATTTGTCCAAGCCTTGGTGGACAGAGTTATCTGGTCTTGGTACTTGTTGCTGATAGTATCCCCTGAAATTAGTCAGGCCGAGTTAGTCAGGTGCGTGCAAGCTGGCCAGGACACCATAGTTATAAAAATGTAGGTGACATGCTCATAACGCGTGGGCAGATGTAGCGTTGGACTTATGGATGCATCTGCCCCAGTAGCTTGTTTCATGCCTCTGACTCTCCCTCGGTTCGTTCGGAAATCATGATAGTTTTTTAATGGAGATTATTGGGAACGAAAGTGTGCCTGGGGTTAAGAACAACGACAAAATTGCCTTTGTCTGATGCCATGGAATGTATAGGTAGGGATTGTCTTATGCTTGGAAAGCCCGTTCCGCGCTCTCTATCCCCTTTTTTCGGGGTCCCCATGAACCGCTTTTTAGTATTTGTGTTCGCCTTGTTCTTCCTTCCCTTCCACACAGAAGGATCATGGGGTTCTCCCAACATACATATCCGGGGGTGCAACTGTTTAGTAGGCAAGGATCGGAACGGGCGGATCCCTGTATATATGTTAAAAGATCCAATTAATAAGTATAAATGATAGATTTTGAACCTAGTAAATCAAACGGGATGTAGTAAGATAGCGAACTTGTAACCATAATGTTCAAATTGATTAACCTTGTTGTTGTATTATATGGTGTTAATATTTGTTCATTAGCTTTGAAAAATGTTTTATGTAATTATTTATTTGTTATAATCGTAATTTTATTAGGTGATACATATTAGCTGAGTATATGCTTTAGACATTAGCAATTTTTGCTGTAGGTTTAATGCTTTATAGTAGCGGTTTAGCCCTCCAGAGATCTATATGTTTGGAAAATATGTATAACTTCTAATATGAGTACTTTTTATTTATATTTTCGTAATATTGGCCTGAGATAAGTTTAATGGAGTGACATGGCTAGTGAGGATTCATATAGCCGACCTCGACTTATTTAGGACGAGGTGTAGTAGCTGATGTTGTAATATTTTTTTTTGTGGAAAATGTTTTATCTTTGGAAATTATTTTCAGGAGCTTTTTTCAAGGTTTAGTAGGGTGTAAAAGTACTTGACACATATGCTCATAGTGAGAGCCTGCAGGATAGTGTATGAGGATAATCATATTAGGTTTTTTTGAGTACTAGTTTTTGACAAACAATGTCTAGGTGTTGATTCGAACAAGTGATATGGCATACATGTTGAAGATTTCTGAGATGGAAAAATGACATCTGCTATTAGTGTGGAAGTTATTTTCCTCCAAATTTGAGTAAAGTATTTAACATTCTCCACAATCCATGATAACCAAGTCGGAATATATCATGTGGAATCATGTGGAAAAGGTTGAGGGACTTATGACTTAGCCACTTAGGTAACAGTTTCGAGCCTTGTGCCATTCAAATTAAGGTTGAGGGGCGGGCTCATTATCCCCGAGTGTCGAAGGTTGCGATTGGTCCTAAGGGTTGGCCCCAAACGGATTTTTCGATCATAAAAAAGAGTCAACCATAATAAACATACCCTTCGTAGTCTCTGGTTGTTTGAAGTTGGGTTTTTTAGATATGCAATTGGAATCCGTCGTACTTTGTTAGTGACATATGACCATCCTTTCTGTGTCCCTTGTTTTTATCTATATATGACCATTTTTTCGGTGCCATTTGGTTATTTAACACCTTCGAAGCATTCATTGTATCTTGGTTTTGGTTCTTAGTTCTTGCTTAGTTTAATGCGCCATGCAATGTATCTTTGTAATTCTAGCACTGTTATATCTTTGTGGATAACTATTATCTTTTCTTCCTATTCCATTTGAATGAGAAAAGTTTTGCTATGTGAGCATACCATGGCTTTCTCCCGTTTTTTTTTTTTGGTTTCTGTATTATATGCTGTTAATATTTGTTCTTTGATTTTGGAAAAAGTTCTTTGTAAAAATTTATTTTCATTTATATGAACCTATTTCACTTTTAGTCCATTTTAAAAAAAAAAGACCTCTTTCTAAATGTGGAAATTATGTAACTTTACCCATTGTACCCTTAAATATACCGATTGTTTTGGACCACTAGCTTCAAAAGTCTTCCATTCTTTCTTTAATTTCTTTAAAAAAATAAATAAATTCACATAAATTGAAATAGAAGGAGTAGTAATTTTTCTTTGGAGAAATGTTTAATTTTGGAGTATTTTTCATAAATATTTGGTAGGGTATATAAATGTAGGTGAGATATGCTCATAGTGCAATGTGCAGGATGGGGTATGGGGACAGTGATTTTAGTGTTCTTTTGAGTATTTTGACAAACAATGTCCAAGTGTTGATTCGAAAAAGTGATATGAATGCGAGTTAAATGTCTCTGAAAAGGAAAATTACTTTTGCTATTTAGTGCCAAAGTTATTTTCCCCCAAATTGCCCCCGGGGTTTAGTTCAAGCAGCAAAAGTTGAGGGACTTGTGGCTTAGTCATAGGTTCGAGCTCTGCGCCATGCAAACTAAGTATATTATTTTAGTGGAGAAGGATAGATGGCCGTGCCCATTATCCCCGAGCTTCCAAGGCTGCTTTTGGTATTTCTCGTTCTTTAAAAAAGGCTATTTTCCTCCAAATTGGAGTAAAATATTATACATTTTCCACTGTCTATGATAAACCAAATTGGTAAATGATTTCGTCAAGTCAACCATAACAAATATACTCTTCATAGTTTCTAGGTGTATGGAGTTGGGATTCTTTGAGATATGTTATTGGATTCCACGTACTTAATTTTCTTGCATGGTTGTTAGTGCTGTGACCATCCTTTCTGTGTCCTTGTTTATTTATGTATGATCATTCTTTCTGTGTCATTTGATTATTTGTACCTTATAGTATTCATTGTATCTTGGTTTTGGCTCTTTGTTCTTGCTTAGTTTAATGCGCCATGCAATTTGTCTTTGTAATGTCTGTCACTGTTATTTCTTTGTGGGTAATTGTTACCTTTCTTCCTATTCCATTGTGAATGAGAAAAGTTCTGGTTTGTGAGCATGCTATGGCTTTCTCCGAGTTTGCTTTTTGGTTTCTTTACTCGGGATACAATTTCTGAAACCAGTTTCTGTATAGAAATTTCTTTCTGGGCTTTTTCAAACTTTTTCTGGTTTTCCATTTATCATCAGCATAAAATGATTTTCTGAACTGAGAAAGTGGAAAGTACTCGGATTTTCCAATTTACCTCAGGCTGTTAGTAGGAACTTATATCTGAGTTTAACAACTTATTAACATCCTCGCTGCACTTTATTTTTTCCAGACTGAGTGGACTAGAGAAGAAGATGAGAAACTTCTTCACCTTGCAAAGCTCATGCCTACTCAGTGGAGGACTATTGCGCCAATTGTTGGCCGTACACCATCCCAGTGCCTTGAACGCTATGAAAAGCTTCTCGATGCAGCTTGTGCCAAGGATGAAAACTATGACCCTAATGATGATCCAAGAAAATTGAAGCCTGGAGAGATTGATCCTAATCCAGAATCAAAGCCTGCTCGTCCTGATCCTGTTGATATGGACGAGGATGAGAAAGAAATGTTGTCTGAAGCACGGGCTCGGTTGGCAAACACAAGAGGTAAGAAGGCTAAAAGGAAAGCTAGAGAAAAGCAGCTTGAAGAGGCTCGAAGGCTTGCTTCCTTACAGAAAAGGAGAGAACTGAAGGCTGCTGGAATAGATGCCCGTCAAAGGAAGAGAAAAAGGAGAGGAATTGATTACAATGCTGAAATACCCTTTGAAAAGAAGCCTCCTCCAGGTTTCTATGATGTTGCTGAGGAAGACCGTCCTGTAGAGCAACCTAAGTTTCCAACTACCATTGAAGAACTAGAAGGTGAAAGGAGAGTCGATAAGGAAGCTCGTCTAAGAAAGCAGGATATTGCAAGGAATAAAATTGCAGAAAGGCAGGATGCCCCTACAGCCATATTGCATGCAAATAAACTTAATGATCCAGAAGCAGTGAGGAAGAGGTCGAAACTCAATCTTCCTGCACCACAGATTCCAGATCATGAATTGGAGGCCATAGCAAAGATAGGTATTGCCAGTGATCTACTAGGGGGTGATGAACTATCCGAAGGGAATGCTGCAACACGTGCTCTTCTTGCAAATTATGCCCAGACACCACAGCATGCAATGACTCCTATGCGAACACCTCAAAGAACCCCTTCAACTAAGCAAGATGCCATTATGATGGAAGCAGAAAATCAACGAAGATTGACTCAGTCTCAGACACCATTACTTGGAGGGGATAATCCTATGTTGCACCCCTCAGATTTTTCTGGTGTCACTCCTAAGAAAAGGGAAGTTCAAACACCAAACCCACTCTTAACTCCTTCAGCGACTCCTGGAGCCACTGGCCTTACTCCTAGAATTGGCATGACACCTTCAAGGGATTCTTATGGCATGACCCCGAAAGGAACTCCTATGAGGGATGAGCTACGCATTAATGAAGAAATGGATATGCACAATAATGCTAAACTGGGGCAATTCAATTCAAAGAAAGAATTGCTTTCTGGTTTGAAAAGCCTTCCTCAGCCCAAAAATGAGTACCAAATAGTCGTCCAACAACCTCATGAAGAAAATGAAGAACCACCAGAAGAGAAGATTGAAGAAGACATGTCTGATAGGATTGCAAGGGAGAAGGCCGAAGAAGAAGCAAGGCAACAAGCTTTACTCCGGAAAAGGTCAAAAGTACTGCAGAGAGAGCTCCCTAGACCTCCCATTGCTTCACTAGAGCTAATAAGAAGTTCCTTAATGAGAGCTGATGAAGATAAGAGCTCCTTTGTTCCTCCTACACTAATTGAGCAGGCTGATGAAATGATTAGGAAGGAACTTCTGTCTTTGCTAGAACATGATAATAGCAAGTATCCTCTAGATGAAAAAGCAGAGAAGGAGAAGAAAAAGGGGGTCAAGCGGAAAGTGCTTGCTGAACCTGCAATTGAGGACTTTGAGGAAGATGAACTGAAAGAGGTACGTTCATGTTACATAAAGAAAAATGGTTTGGCTCTACCCTTGTGTCAATTTATTTTCCCAGGAGCAGTCTTACCTGCTTTGCGGCATTAAGGTAATTAAAAATGATATGCAAAATCCCAAGTGAACTTTTTATTTTTGAGCAAAAGAGTTTCAGATTACTTCAAATGCATGTTAGACTTCAGAGTTGTTAGTGTCAAATTAATACTAGAAAAGAAAATGAGTTGCCTAAATTTCAATATAAAGCATTTGGAAACTGTTCTTTTACAATATCATCTAACCTTTTTATGTAATGGATATATGGAATCATTCCTACAATTGCTGATAAAATTTCACTAAACTATGGCTGTAAGGATTGTGGGAAAAAGAATAGGTTCAATAGGCTGGACAACTATCTATGTAAAGATATATATTTAAATGTATGTACTATATATAAATGTATGTACTATATATATATATATATATATGTATATATTTAGTGTGTGTGTGTATATATATATTATTCTTGACTCCACTCAACAAGCTAGCTTACATGCTCAACTTTATGAACCCTACTCCTACACCCATGACACCATACATGGTGTCCATGACACCATACATGGTGTCCCGGTTTTGTTTTTAGTATTTATTGTTATGAGGACTAATTAACTGAAATTGGACATTCGGGTCTTTCGATAAGACGCCAAAAAATGCTAATGGTTCCACTCTGGGGGATCATTAAGTACTCACTTGGATGCCATTTGTGTTTGTGTGAAATATGTTCATCGTGGCTTTTTTTTTTCTGCAAAATTCAGTGTTTCTATGTGCATTTGACTGTTAAAATAATATTTGGAAGTAAATAAATCAGGCCTTTTCGCATAGGCGCCTTTTCCATTTTTACATTGTGCTATTAGATGTGCCCTTGTCATTACCAATTTCGTGTGCAAACAGTAATGTTTTCTGGAGTTTGTATGATTTTATCTTCATCCAGTGCAACATAACTAACTCCACTCATGCAGGCTGATGGATTGATCAAGGATGAGGCTCAGTTTGTTCGTGTGGCAATGGGACATGAGGGTGAATCTCTTGATGAATTTGTCGAAGCACACAAAACAACTTTGAATGATA